TTTTTTTTTTTAGGTAGTTTGTATTGTCTACCCTTTTCCTATTTTTTTTTCTATTTTTTTTTTTTTTTTGTTGGTGTAGTTTTTTTTGCCACGCAAACATCAATGATGTACGTAAGGTTATAAAACAGGATGTGCTAGTCACTGGTATTTGGCTACGGTGTAGTCATTGTGCCAAGGGAGATACAAAAAGCTGGCAGCATGGCGTTTAAGCTGCTTTTGTGCTGGTGCTTGTTGCCGTCCAGATGCTGAGGTGACGTGTTTTTTTAAGGTTTTTCTTTTTGAAAGGAGAGTTTTAAAGGCAGCTGGAGTGACCACGGCGGGGAACTGGAAGAAGGCTGACACAGAGGAGGCTGCTGTGCACGGCTATGGAGAAGATGATGCGCCCTGTGGGGTGCAGATATTATTCACATTGATGTTCACAGAGGTGAGCGGTGGCCTTGGTGAGGTTTTAGATGCTGGAAGGCGACTTGAGAGTGAGGAGGGAGAAGGTAAGAGGGATGCCGCAAAAGATGGAGAAAATGGTCTCTCCATTCAACATGTTGTTGCAGGTTGTCTGCATTCGTATTTTTTAGTTATATGCTTTTATCACTGCCATTTAACTTTCTCTCACTCTCTGAAAATGATCCACAGCTGGAGGAGAAACTGGTGAAGACTGGGGGTCCTGAAATTGCCCGCTAATTGTGGTTATCGCCAAGAGGTTTACTGGGCACTGTAGTGACCATGACCGTCACTGGTAGAGGTATTGCTTCCTGATTTGGAAGGGGACTGCCCATATTATTGTCCGCGTTGTTCATTCTCATGGCATCCATTTTGCCATCAAAATTTTTCTGATGATATTGAGGGTGCATTAGGAGACCTCATTGAACAGATGAGCAAAAGATCGTTGTGGGCGTGTACCGCTCCGTATGCTATTTTTTTGGTTTTTTGGCGCTGGTGTAGTGACGAAGTCCACTCTGCTTGAAATAAGTGTAGGGCTCCGCCTAGTGGTTTTCTCTGCCTTGATGTCACAATCATCTTCATGCCGTAAACTATACAGCAGGAGGTAGATGGATTGACCATGAGGGTGTAGGTCACAAAGTAGCGATGGTGATGTTCTTCCGTTGATCGTCACGGTATCTGATTTGTGGACATTCAACGACGTGAGGGGATGATTACAGTATGGCTGAGCAATGCCCCTCCTGTTCAGTGTGCCTCCATTGACAGGTGTGATATGACGGACCCATTCAGGCTCTCTCGGCTGCCGTTATGTTTTCTTACTTTCCTTTTGAGGCAATGTGTGCCATTTTTTGTTTTCCACCTTTTTCTTCCTGTTAACTTATTACTTCTTCAGTATCTTTTCCTGCTTTTCTTGTTTATACTGTTGTTGTTATTTTCGCCTTGTAGCAGCTGACGA